GTTTCGTCGGTACGAAGTTACGGAAAATCAGTTAATTAAAAAAACGGAGACGTAACAGTATGTTATTCTTAAGCGGCTCTTAGCATGACTGAAGTGCTCAACAATTACTTTTCGCGGTGAGCAATATAAGTAGTTCAGAACTTTGGCTCTGAGTGAAACCAAGAATGCAACACAATTAACCTTTTTAAAGTCCATAAAATTATTTAACTTGATAGATTAACTGAAGCTTTTCCCGTCACTGAGAACAGGCACATTTGCTTGTATTACATAAAAACACAAAACTAAGGAATCAAAATAAATGTTTTTGACTTTAAAGTATTTTGTCGGGCACTATATATAAATGTAGAGTTTAAAATAATAGATTTTAAATGACCGTATAGGCATGATTATTGTATTGAAATATACTCTTTCATTATTTTAAAACAATCTTAAAATAGTAACATTTTAAATCTAGCAATAATTATTTCGATTTTAAATTTTATTGGGTTTAAGAGGACATAAAGGTATTGGTTGATTTTGTTTATCATAATACGTAACATTGGAAGGAATTTGAAATATAACAATCATTGTAGCTTTTATAAAATTTAGCCAAAGTTAGGTCTGTGTATGATCACTATTTAATAACGTTTAAAGATGGTATATTTTGGTTAGAACGAGACCATTATTATTAACGCGTTGAACTAGAAGGAATATTTTAAAAGAAAGATATCAGGAAGGAAACTTGTAATTAACGTGTAGAACTAGAATTTAAAAGGAGTATCTTAAAAGAAACAATACCACGATGAAGGGAATTTGTAATATTTGTGAGGGCAACACGTTGAAACTTGAAAGTGGCCGATGGTTCTGTGAGGAATGTTTTTCTCTACAACAGGTAAGCTTAGTTGATGGTCACTGGCTAAACATTAACTCACTGACATTGACAACATAAACATAGTCATTCATTAAAAATTTATATTACGTATAATATTATTAGTATTAATATTACACAGGATAAGAACATAAAATATCGCAGAAGTGAAGTTAGTTATGACTAGCTGGCAAAATGTTATTGTTGTCAGTGTCATTGGGTTAATATTAATGTTTAGCACTTGTACTCGGCAATAGTGGTAGTTTTATTTGACAGTTGATAATCAAGGTATGATTATGAATATTCAATTTCAAGCCAATTGTAAACAACAGTCATAATTATTTGATAAAAAGCTAGCTGCAAGCACAAAAGTTATGAAAGTTAGACTTAATATTTGATATGCAAGAGTGTTGTGCTGCTGAAACACGCTGGAGCACCATTCTGGCCCCTGAAATTGGAGCTGAATCCAAACACTTCGGAAACTTAATATATATATATATATATAAAGTTATTCAGGTTACACACAAAGTTAAACATTTTTCATAACCAAACACTCAGAGTGCCAGAGAATACTAGCTGTTTGCAATCCATTGTGTCCACCAGTAGAGTTCTCTCAGACTGCTCAACACACACATACACACACACAGTTATTTTCCCTCAGAATGTGTCAGACACAATACAACTGTTCTGGTTTAGTGAAATGTTTATGTCGTACATCACATGGTTATTAAGACATACAAATATGGTATTAAAATACTTAATAATAGAATATTTTATGACCATACTGTGTATTTAACATAATACACAAAAAAGGTTGCTTTTTTTTGCCTATTTTTGTTGGCAGGATAGGAGGTATGTAAGGCATTATATATGTCAAGATTGTTGATACTATAGTGCAGTTAGAAAAGAGTAAGTTAATAAAATGTGTGATTTTAAAACTTATTTTAATGTTAGTGATTTTTTTTTGGTACACAGTTGTTTTTTTGCCATGCTGCTTAATTTAATGGATGTTGAATTACATATTTTATGCTTTTTCAATTTGGTTGTAATGTAAATAGTTTCAAATAATTAGTGTTGATTATATTTTGTTTCTATAAAATGAACTCGCAACAACTGAAATAAACTTTTAAGATCTCTACTCTTTCATTGATGTGACATGCTTGACAAATTTTGGCAAAGTTCTGGTGCTGTAAATTTATCATTACACCACTGTTGATATGATATTACAGTATTTGACTATTTCTATTAGTGAGTAATAATAGCCTATAGAGTGCAGTGTAAGCCAGGTCTGCAATAGAAAACTGCTGAAGATGAAACTTTTTTGTTATTCAGTATATTGTTGAGTTTCGTGTAGTCAAACAACATATGCAAATACTAGCATTTCTTATTTGTAGAAAACAAACTGAGATATGAATTGATCTTGACCTAAAAAAGTAAAATGCTGGCCAAAAATGTTGTGGATGGCATCATCAAAGGAGCCACAAGTGCAATGTTATAATTGATGTCAAACATTTTAATTTTCTCTGCTGGCCAAATGTTAGTTTACACACCACAATAACAGTGATTTTTCATGAATAAAGCATAAAATCAAACAACAGAAAAGGCCATATTTAGCAAGAAATATTCCTTTGATTTTCATATATGATATTAAAACAAAATCAGTTCATAAATACCCATATGGAGTAATTCATTTTATTTTATCCATCAAAATTGGAAGTGTGAAAAAATATTCCTCAAACATCTTAAAGCACACATACTAAAAATTACTGGACATAGCCGTTTAAAAATGTAGTAAGAATGTTTGAAAATATCGGATATTCCTTATTTTTTAATCAGCACTTTGGATAGCTCATAATGATACAAAAAACAGTTGTGTAGGAGCAATTAGATTTTTCCAGTTATCAAATGCCTTAACATACATTTATAAAAAAATATTAGATACAAACATTTTAAAAGCAGCAAGAATACTTGAAAATAGCAGAAATCTATCAGTTTGCTTGGTATTTCTAAGAGCATGTAATAACACCAAAAAGGAGTAGTGACAGGGTCTCAAGCCTAGATTGCATGCATAAATCACTGAAACACACTAATTTGGCTTTGAATTCCTGTAGATGGGATGACTTGGCCCTTTTAAGAGTAAATTGGTGATTAGTTATGGCTATTGTCAACTTAAAGCGAGTATAGGAAGTTTTCAGCTGGTGTTATAGACTTTTTATTAGGTTCAATGAATCTAGTTTCCAATTTTCTTCCAGTTTCTCCGACGTAGAATTCTGGACAGTTATTGCACATTATTTTATAAATGGATACTAAAACCATTATTAAATAATAATTACATAGAATTAGAGAATATAAACATTGTTTATAAAATAATGTGCAATAATTGTCCAGATTTCTACATCAAAGAAACTGGAAACCAGAATTACCAAACATAATAAAAACCCTCGCATTTTTACCACCATTGCCACTAAAAAAACACCACAGTATATCTATACAAGATACTGTAGTTTTAGACAAAAAAAAAAAACATCAATAAATGCAGAATAAAGGAAGCTATCTTAATCAGGGGACAAAATAGTTTGGTGGATTTGATTAGCAGTTTCTGCTAATCAGTATTGAATTTGATTAGCAAATATTGCTTAGCATCTTTTTAACATTCATCATTTTAACACATTATAGAAAATAAATCCAGCACTAAAAGTCTAACTCTTTGGAAAGACATCCTCTAATGAATAAGAGGTAAATGGTATGTTTTTATTCTAATAACATTTTTATTCAGCTTCAAACCCTAATATTTCATTGTACCATACATAGCATTTCATGAACAAAATAGTTCCTATTATATAATGTATAACTTCAAAACTGCAAGAAATTTTAAAAACCTCAGCTGTCACAAAATAAAGCAACAATTGATTAACCAGAGAAAGAAGTGACTTAAAGATTAATCTAGTTTATTTCTTTCTTTTTTGGTGAGACCTCATCACTCTCTTCACAGTGTGGTCTCCTTGGCTTATTGAATAAGAAAATGTCTAGTGACTTTTCATCAGTAATTACCCCTCTCGCTACAGGAATCCTTTATTGTGCATCATGCCACAATGTTTTTAGTGAGTTACATTCCAAATTTAATTAAGCTTGTTCACGTTATACCAATTAGCATAGAATAAAATTGCAGCTAATTATCTATATTTTAATAGTATGCAGATTTAAAGTTCTTAATTTTATAAGGCAATATGAAAAAAAGATCTCAAATTTCCCCTAGTGTGAGAAATGTGACATTTTTTCTCTAGGGATTCTCTATACTCTAATTTATTTATCAATTCTCCAAGAAATACAAAATTTATTGTCAGTTACTTATTGTAATATTGTCATTGCTCAGATAAAGCATAATTTTCATCACCTTCAATTTTGTTTGGTTACAGAGCCATCAAATAGAAAATCAGACCCTTCTTGCCACATCCACCTGTCACATCCTCTTTCAGGAGTTGTCAGTAGTTCTCTTACATTTAATACTGTATTATTTTAAACCAATAGAAAGCCAAGGCATTCTCATAGGAAACATATCATCTAGCTTGGATGAATTTATAATGGCTCTTATCACATAGTTTGAAAGACAGAAAAATTTTGATCATTATGGGACATTGTCTGCATTTTTTGTGTGTTATTATTCTATGTTCTTTGGTGCATTATTTAATTAAATAAAAATTATTTAGTGCACTATTACCATTAGTATAAAAAAAAAAGTAGGGTTAAGTTTGTGAAGTCAAAATACTAAGTATATAATTTCGATAGAATTATAAACTCAAATTACAGATATTGACAAGCTAGAATATAAAATAAGAGCCTCTTATTTTTTCAATTTGCTAAGAT